GCAACATGCAGAATCTTATTCTCTAGAAGATCATGTAAGTAGTGAATCGAACTGCAATTTATTAGCGATGTTACATGATTCTTTGTTTGGTTTAAGTGTCGCAGTAAGAATCAATAGTCTACGTCAGCAGTGTCTTGATTCTTATGTAAAATAGAAAAATTGTTTGTAACATTTGAAGTACAGGCTTTTGTACAACTTGAAATTCTCTATCTTTTGATATGTGAATATTAAATGAGAGAAAACCTGCATTTAGATTAATACAATTCATTATGTCATACCTATTATTTGAATAGATATTTCATGTTGGAAAATTGTATTGATTATCTTCTTTGTAATCATCCACAGTAAGACCTTCTTGTATGATCTCATTCACATGTTGAAGGAAGTATAAAAAGTTATTTTAACAGTATGACTTTGTAGAGAATCGCTTTTGGTACAAAATGCTTATATTTGAAATCAAAATTGATTATATCACTTAAGTTAAATATTCGCTTTTTACATTCTAAAATCTTATCTTAGTTTCAGCAACAGCCTAAGTATACATCTCATTAAATAGCTAGTTTTTTTTGCTTTACGTTTCTATAGATAGAGGATAAAATACTATAAGCTTTTATAACATAACAAGAGCACATATAACTTATGTGATATAATCAGTTTTGATTTCAAACATAGGAGATATTTGTACAAGAAGGTCAAAAAGCTGTAGTACAGGTAAAAAAAAACATGATTTTTAAGTTCATACTCAAGAGACAGCAATGATAAAAAGTACTTCGTTTGTAGAACACAATTTGTTATATTGAATCATAAAAATTTCACATAGAACCGTCATGCAACTGTTTGGAAATATAAATGGTTGCATAATTTTCAAAAGGATGAAAAACAACATGCTGCAATTGTATCATCAATAAAACTTAAATAATAAACAGTTGAATAGACTTGAAATTTTCTACTAGCATACTAAAAGCTATGAGCTGTAATCTGACAAACAGCAGATCATTCTAGTTTGTTGAGTTCTTGAGACATACTGAACAAAAAAAATAAAATAAAATTATCGACTTGTTCGATGATTTTAACAGCCATTGTATGTTTAGAAAGAGTAAAAAAAAAACGAAGCACATGATGCTACTTTTTCATATAGAATATAATATGATTCATTAGAAAATGTTCTCTTTTTTCTTTGCCTAAGGATATGGAATTATTTATTCTATTTAGTGAATTAAAAGATCAAAGATGGGGTATTTTGAGCCGAAAAAAGTTCTTATATTCATGAGAATGAAGTAATAAAAGTTAATTATTTACAAATTTAATTAAATAATAATTTGAATATAAGTAGAAGCTTATAGGTTTTACACTCAAAAGTAGATTATATTTATGTAAGTAGACAGAATGTTAAAAATAATTTTTTTTTTCGTAATAACTCGATTATTATTTAATAATAATCTATAAAATATATTTATCTAATCATTAAAAGATTATTTTTTGACAATAAAAAAATTTCAAAGAGTTATAATTTGAATTTATCTTTGACACAATGATTTCATATTATTGTCCCACGAAATCTAAACAAATATTTTTAGTTAACTAATGTTTCTTTTGTATGAGATCTGTAAAAATTCATTCGCAAACAATTAATCTATGTTATTCAATTTCGATCTTCAAAAACTTTTATCTATTCATTTGTATTCATTAACTGATGGTGGTGATCGATAGTTGATTATGCCTCAAATATGATGAAGTAATCATAACGATTGGTTAAAGACTTTCGAAACGGATTAATTTAAATCAGTATATCATCGAATAGTAAAATGATTTTTCAAAATGACATTAAATATATATTCTAAACATCATTGAAATGATTACTTTACATTCGTATTAAGCTTTAGGATAATCGGGAACAGATATGTCAATCATTCTTACTTGTTTTTCGATAATATACTACTATTCATTCAGAAATACCGTGGACTCGGTTGTAAGTTGAATAACTTTTCAACAGAAGCAGCTAGAGAGCTACGATTTTCAGTATTCGAAAGAGGACAGATAAGTTTATCAATCTATATAAAAGAATCAAACAATCCTGCAGTAGTCAGTATTGGTCAGTTCTCCGTGACCATTTTGGAAATGATCTCTTGAGAAATTTTCCTAACATGTGTTGACATTTGAGAAAGTCAAGGCCTTTCTATCTACACAAAACTAATCTTTCTAGCTGCTTCTGTTACCAAGATATAGGCATTTTTCTGAGACACTCGAAATCGACCAGCTGATCACTGGTCAGTCTGAAATGAGTTTTTATATAAAGTTTCAACCTCATTGAAACAAGTGGTGGTGTTTGTCTTCTGTTTTAAAGCAACACCAAGTAATCAAATTGGTATTATAAAAATTCATGATTCCCGCGTAATACTTCATTAAAACTAAAACTTTTAAAATGTTGGTTATGCTTTCTCATCTTTCTTTAAAACAGAAAACAAACGCCATCACTTGCTTAAGTATGGTTGAAACTTCCTTTAAAAACTCTTTTCAGACTGACCAGTGATCAGCTGGCCGATCTCGAGTATCTCAGAAAAATGTCTATATCTTAGCAACAAAAGGAATTAGAGAGACCGGCATTGCGTAGATAGCAGAGATGCACATCACGGTTGAAAATTGACCGCTGCCACGCCGCGCCACTGTCACGATGGTTGTTAGAAAAATGTTGTGAATTTTACGACTGTGATTGTTCAGGACTAGAACTGTTGTCGATAATCGATGAGATTCGTTGAGTCTCATAGTTTTGCACTTGCGAACACTGAATTTTTGCTTTCTCCTCAAAAAAATCTACCGCCACCATCACGGCAGCAGCAGTAGCGCTGTCATGGACATCTCTAGTAGATAGCAAGGCTTTGATTTTCTCTATCAAATAATTTTCTCAAATATCAACACATGCTGGAAAAATTTCTCAGGAGTTCGTTGCCAAAATGGTCATGAAGAACTGACCACTGCTTGATTGTTTGATTTTTACATATATTGATAAAGTTATCTATTATTCTTTCGAATACTGAAAATCGCAGCTCTTCAATTGCTTATTTATCAGGAATATTTTACTGCAAAATCTCAACATTTGAGACATTTGTTAAGCTTTCGTCATGTGATAGTCATATTTGGACAACAGATGATTTGTTCATGATCTCTATTCATTTCAAACTAAGAAAGTGGATATGGCTTCTCAGAATAACATCATTAGAGTCGAAATCGTACTATAAGAAGCGAAAAAGAAAAGGATTTGGTTCGGTAAGACCAGTAAACTCTTTTATTCTGTAAGGAGTTTTTGAAGTAACTTTAAATTAGAAGTGTAATTGTAACCCATTTAACTACATCCAGTGATGACATGATTGAAAAGTTCGCACCAAATTGTACTTGAAGCATGCAAAACCTAATACGAAGAATGACTTCTAGAAAAAGTAAATAGAATATACACGACATTGACTAATGGCAACAGCTAAGCAAAAAATGACTGTTATCAACGTAACATCAGTAGGACAATACAGAGAGAAACAAAAAAGAAGTTTCGTACTTTGCTGTTGTTAGTGAAGATTTACTTCTGTGGATAGCTGAACAAAATTCGTCTCTGGTGCTTTCGCTGAGAAATCGACAAAGTATTTTCTTTATTTCTATCTTCACTTGGTTAATGCAATTAGTGAATGTCATGTGTATTCTAGTAACTTTTTTAGATGTCGTGATTCGTATTAGTTTCTGTACGTTTCAAGTACAACTTGAAGTACTCTTTTCAACCATGTTAAAGTTGCACTTCTTATTCAAAGTTTTCTGAAAAATCCCTTACAGAATAAAAAAAAATTGACTAGTGTTATCAAGCCAAATCCTTCTCAATTTTGTTTCTTGTAGTATTATTTCTGTATTGAGGATGTTATTCCGAGAAATCACATCCACTTCATTAGATTTAAACAGATGTGAATCATCAAAGAATCATCTCTTGATCGAATTGACATCTATTTATGTTTGCGCAAAATACTTTTTGCTTAAACATTTTTATACAATGATTCGATTCATAAGGGAGTATACCATTTCAATATAATTCCAAAACATTGATCACCAACAGAAGGTCGAATTTGTTCATTATAACCGATGATGTTTTTTCGTCGATTCCAATATCGTCAAATGAATTCGTAAACAAAAATCGGTTCGAATTCTGATCGGTTTCATACATATCACATTATTTTAATCAATTTATTTATTACGAAGTAGACTGGTAATCATCTCAGTTGGATATGAGTATGTGTATTGATGGAGCCGAAGCAAAGAACAGCAACCATATGCACACCCAACTCTATATGTTAAAATCATATTGAGATATAAGACAAACAAGACGATCGATTAGATATATTATCCATCTTGAGCGTCATTTTATATATAGGGTATAACATAACTATAGCCCCTCCTCCCTGTCCTTTTGCGACAAACATATTTTTTTTACTTTTAAAGTTCCGTTGCAATAGTTTGTTGCAATACTAACTGTTTACAATCTTTTCCATTCAATTTGAGAATTTATCAGGAATATTTTACTTCAAAATCTCAAGATTTGAGATATTTTCTGAGCTTTCATCGTTTGGTAGTTAAATTTCGATTGTTCTTATCGACTAAGTAAGAAAAATTCATTTCAGTTGAACTGTTTTAGTATAGATCACCGATCACCTATTTAAATAGAAAAAAAACTTTATTTCTATAATCTAGGAGTAGTGCACCGAAACATTGCTTAAACTTTCTAGATTTTTTCCTGGCGAATAGGACGAAAAACAAACACTGTAATATAAGACAAACACAAAGTCATTCAATTGAAATCGTACATAATCACATAAACTCATTTTGACCAAGGCAGACAAATATAAAGTCATACATTACCCACAAAAAAAAAAAAAAAAAAATGAAGTCTCATTCTATACTCAAGTTATGTACCAAGAAGAAAAAAAAAATGAAAGAAGGTAAATATATGTTGATAATATTGATGATGACTATTTCGGTGGTGAACCAACAATTGGTGGTGAAGCTGTGCCAGATGATGATGCATGAGTTCCAGAACCTCGTCTTGGGCGATCAGCTTCTTCCATCGACATAGAACGTGATAGACGTCCTAAACCAACTAAACATGCTTCCATTGGTAAACCAGATACTAAATCATAAGAACAAAACTTAATAAATTTCAAATGAAAAAAAAAATCTCAATCTATACATAAACCGATTCCTTGTAAAAAGAATTGCACTGATTTAGCTAAAGTATCAGGCTAAATGAAAAAAATCAAAAACCAAAATAATTCTTATAGTGTTTTTATCTTACTGCTTCGCCAAGTACATCACCAACATTGTCTACAACCAATAATGGTGAATTAACCATTTTTTGTGGATTATCACGTGAAGTACGTAGTCTTTCATAGAATTTTTCTGTTGTATGTAATACAGAACTTTTCTTTCCAACAGCAACGAGACAATCAACACTATCAAGATAAAACATAATAAAATTACAGTTATGTTTGGTTTTTTGTTTTATTTAAATAAGTTACATTAATTTGTCCAATTTATCAACGAGACTTGTTCGACTATAACAAAAAAAGAAACGAAAATCTAATTAAGTAATCAATTTTTAACTTCTATTACATACTTAAGAAAAGCATCCAGAAAAAGAGCTAAATTTTTTGGTGATCGTTTTTGATAAAGTTTTTCAGAAAATTCACGAATATTCGATTCAGTTAATTGTGAATCAATATAACCCTAATTTAATACAACAAAAAAACAATAAAATTATTTTTTATTTTCAATTAGTTCTTATTTTTAAATTATAAATATAAGATTTTATTCTATAATGTAGAACCAAATGAACTATGAATATCCTGAAAAAAGTTCGCATCCTTAGCTTATTACTGCAGAAATACTATTTTATTACGGCAATGTCGTGACCTCCTAGAATAATTGATATTTGAATTTCGACTTAAAACTTCATACAAATACAAGCCTTAACAAGAATAGTTTATTGTGAAAGTTTGAAGTTTTTTGATTTGCTTATATCCTGATTTAAGTGATGTAAAAGACACGCTTTTACCATAGCTATATGCCCTGGCGGTTCGAAGCAACTAACATTGAGAGGAGTCACGATTTTTTGTAAAGAAAAAATGTTTTCCTTTTAACAGAATGAAACAAAAAAAAATTCAATTTTGCTGGAAATATAAAAACTTTCCACAATTGCGAGGAATATTACATCCCATGATTGGGGCTACTACTGACTGTATCTTAAGCTAGGAACAACGAAAAGATCTGATACAGTTACAAGAAACTATTCTCGTTAAGATCTGTATCTATGTAAAGCTTCAAATCAGAATTTGAAAATTAGCTTTCTTAATGCTTCTAAGGGGAAACATGACATTCATTTAAGAAATACCCTAAAAGTGCAGTATTTCCGCAGCAATAAACTAAAGATATAAATTCTTTTTAGAATATTCATCATTCATTGAGATCTACATAACGCATGTAGCCTTGACTCAAAAGCGATTTATCAATTTGAGGCATATATTTTATCAGTTGTAAGATGAACTTTTGATGAGAAATGCTTGTAATCATTAAGAAGCTACTGCACACGAGAAGACATTATATATTTTTATTGTTCATTTTGAAAAATAAAATCAATTCAACAAAAAACAAATATAAATTTGAAATTTCGAAACATTTTAGGTATTTTTAAATAAAAAAAAAACAATACAATAGATTTTTCTTTTTCATTACTATCTCGTGCATTTATGTAATATGTTTTCTCATGTACGATGGGTTCTTAATGATCATAAGCATCTTCTAGCAAAAGTTTGTCTTTTATGTTTAACATTTGATCCAAACCCCGCAATAAAAGATCTTGAATTTTCTATTATGTCTCCTTTATTTTCATAATTTTTTTATTAAAAGCATTTTTCAAAAAACCAAAACGATTTCCAGTATTTTTGAACACTTACGAATAACATTGACTTTAACCTCTTAAGAATTTCCAGGTAAAAACTTTGAAGACTGGGCGCATTTTGAAATAAATATTTTAACAAAAGCTCTAACATTGTGAGAAATCAATTCATGAAAAGGAAGTCTTCGATTACATATGGCGCATAGTTTCTTCAAAGGAAAGAAGTTTGTTTTGTTTGTATTAAAGAGCAATAATTTTTCTCTATTCAATAAAATATAAAAGTTTGATCAACAACAATGTTTTATATATGCTTCAAGTCAGAATCAACTTGAACATAAAGTATTGAAAAATTATTTTAGAATATTCCAGAACTTTCAGCTAGAATAATTTCTGTCGTCAAAAAAAAAATAATTCATACGAGAATAATAAAAACTCTACTACTCATGAACTAAATCAGCAACAAAAATGTAAGATTTTTCTATTATCATGCGTACGAAATTTCGGAAATTATTTTTTCTCGACTAAGAAAAGCATCAACACGCACGTCTCTAGACATGCATTTTTCCTTCTTCTTTTTTTTTTTTATCAGCTAATCATATGTTATTACAATGACATTTACAACATGTAGTATTACATGATTTATATATGCATTAACGCTTTCATCTAATTCATATGACTGATTAAGTTCCATGAGGAATTTTACAACAAATGATTTTTATAGTCCTATACAGATTAGGATGTTTAATCAGTTTTTGCGGATCTATGTGAGTAATAGTATATGATAACTTCTCAACTGAGATTTTCATACAATCATGAAGTAATAAAACCAAAAAAGCATTTATTTGGAATGATCATTAGACTATCAAATAACAGACGTCACAATCTATCAATAAAGATATAAATAACATCCTAAACTAACAACATACCTTAGCTGCATCCTACAAAATAAAAGAGAATAAAGCATGATAGATAATGATAAAAACAGCATGATAGTAAACATACGCGTCCAAATCGATGCCATATAAGATAAGCTTCAGCATCCGGATTCATTCCTTTATTAATTAATCTCCAATTATTAAGTTTATCTTTCATCATTTCCATAAAACCAGCTGTTGTACCTGTTGGATGAACAAGTACAAGACCATGAACACGTGATGGATATTCAATAGCAAAACGACATCCTATATTAGCTCCAGCACCTTCACCAAATATAACCGTTTGTTGAATATTTAATTGATCAAGAATATTTATTAATTCATTTGCAACATCATCTAAACTTGGATATTTTCTTGAAATGAAAAACAAAATAAATATAAAATTCATCTTAAAAAAAACCAAAAAACTTACTCAATAGTTAAAACACTTGCATCATCTTCTTGACCAGGTAAATCAACATGTATCCAAACAATTCGTTGTTTACTACAAAACAAAAACATAAAAATTAAATATTATATTTTCATATTTATACATTTACTTACAGTGGACGCATCTCAGGTTGAGAAACAAATTCAGTAAAAATCGAATCTATGAAAAAAAAAAAACAATAATTAATTTCTAACAGAAACAAACTAATCCATTCATCTTACGACTACAGCCAAGATCATGTAAAGTCATAACATAGCATTTTGAAGTATTACCAGTTTCATCCTAAATAATAAAATTATTTTTCATTATATTTCAATAATCATAAAACTTACTTGAACCCATACGGTATAATCAAGACCAAGTTTATTTGAATGAATCACATGTTTCTAAATAAAGACTATTATAAAAATCAAGATATAGATTAGAAAAATAAATCTGATATATATATATATATTATTAATCATCATGAACATTGAAAATCTTATTGAACAAATCTTTGTCTACGTTTTATAAACAAATGATTTCAATAGAATTTATTCTTTCACAAAGATTTGTTGCAAAATATATATTAGAAGGTGAAGGTTCCTTTTTTTAAATCTCTGCTACACTAAATAATGATTATTGCTATTTGTATTAGAAACATAAAGATAAATTTAGGATGTATATAGCAAAAAAACGCAATATTACGGGTGAATAACAGAGCAATATTTTAAACGATTAATCATACACACTTATATTTTTAATGGCATGAAGTGACAAATGATCCTCATTTACATTTTCGAAATATTAAATGCTATCCTTGTTAGTCTTGATTTATAATGTTAAAAGTATTTTCATTGTGTAAATGCAATTTATAATATTATGAATCTATTTGCCTGTAAAAATATTTACTTAAATCTTCTGTAAATGTCATTTTATTTTATCGATCTATACAATTAATGTTAAAAAGTATATTTAGGAGAGTGAAACTTTACAATAATATTTAAGTAACTCACTTGAATCGGTCGAACATTTGCAAGTTTTTCAAGTAATCCTGCTCGTTCAGTATCGTCCATTATGTTCGATTAGAATACGATTAAGAAATACGATTTATATATATATATATATGTATATGTATATGTATATACTTAAAAAGAGCAATGTATATATATTTATTTCTTTTTTTCAAGTGAAATACTGGATGTCTATTGACAAAAATGAAAAAAAGGTGAGCGTGATTACATATATATACATATAGACAAAGATGCAAGAGAGCGTGTTGTGATTGGAATAGGATTCTCGCTTTATAGAAAGAAGAAAAAAAAAAGAAAAAAAAAAAAAAAGAAAGCAGTTTTATAATATGACAACGATAAGCGACCAAACAAAAATGATGAAATAAAGTCATTGAAAAAGAGTGAGAAGATATATTTCGTGAAGTAACTACGCAATCTGATACACAACATATATACAAATAGTCATGTTCTAACATTCTCGTACTGATGTTATCTATGCCTGCAATTTTTTTTTTTGCTTGTACGACTTAATCATAAAATGAGTAAATGCATATATGATGTCAAAAAAAGAAATTATACGATAGGGGCGCGGCGTGGATTGTTATATGCTTGTTGAAATTTATTCGGACGGCTCAGTACACATTGTCTTTCTTGCTTATGTTCTTGCCTGGAAGACTAACGAATAGAACGATAAAAGAGAGTGAAGGAAGAAAATCTTATATACATCCATGGCTGTAATAGTTCTCTGTTTTCTTTTTCCTTGCCTTTTTCTTTTCTTCTCTTTTCACTATTGCGTGCCTCTTAGCACAATTCAGCATGAATAGTGATGCTTATGTCGTCATATGCTTGCTTGTTCGAGCTCAAATGATATCCAATATAAGAAAAAAAATCAAAGACAGTGTTAAAAAATGGAACAAAATGAAAAAAAAAACTAAGTCTTATAATGAGAAATATTAAAAAAGAATAAAACGAGATGATTACTTACGGACAATGCATATGCTCATAAATTTATGTTGTTACATAGAAAAATCTATATTTAGAAGGGATATATAAAATTTTTTTAATACAAGATAATTTTTCTATTTCATGTCCATTTTTAATATTTATAATTGACGAGTCTTATTATCTTGATATAGTGAAGATGAAAAAAAAAAAGATAAAAAATTGTAAAATTCAGAGAGAGGAAAAACAAGAGAGGTAAGATTAAATGCATATCTTATGACTATTTCGTATATGTTGATTTGGTTATAAGATGATAATCATGACACGAGCAAAAACTTATGTATTATCAAGAAAATGCCATTCTTATTTACAGAACAGCAGCTATTGGGTTTTTTGTTTTGTTATTATTCAAGCAAGGAAAAAAAAAAACAAGATCTTCTTATACAAGACAATATTTCGATGCTAATTTGAACTCTAATTGGTTCATAAAAATTCATGAAAAAAAAAAAAGAAGAATTTTGTCTTGAAATTAATGATTAAGAAATTTCCAGTAAATGTCAACACAAATTAGTAATTAGATATTCTCGATTTTCTCTTTAGTATAATTTTGTTAATATATCCGATAGAAATTACACAAGATTTCGAAGATGGATAATATCTACACAAATTGATTTGCACGTCTTAAGGTTATCAATTATCCCAATGGTATAGTTTGTAGCTTTCAGACAATTATATATGTATAAGGAAGAGTTTTAACTAAATAGGAAACCTTTTTAGACGTCTCAATCGATTTGATTACATCTTTTGATTATAAAAAGACTTTAATAAGACATTGAGAAGCTTAAAAAAGATTTTCTTCCTTAATTTTTCATTTTACTGGATGCCACAACCATAGACAAAGTCTTCAAAATACCTATCGTATTTTAGTTTGAACCTTGCTCATTTGCTCTTTTTTCTCTAAAATACTTTCTCAATGTCAATACATTCAGTAATGTAATTATAACTCAACAATGAAGACCTAAAAGAAAATCCTTTCTGACCAATGCTATATCTCATCAAAGTCTATTTATAACTAACAGAAAATGGAGTTAGAACAACTCGAATATCTCAGTATGTTTTATCATATTAAAAAAAAATCATTACATCAAAAACAAGAATAATTAAATGTATAGTAAATTACCTGTTGTTCAGCTAGAAGATTCATTTTAGGTCGAAGTAATTTTTCACGAGTGGATTTTTCCATATTATTCTCTTCACGTGTTTATGTTTATTAATGAAATCAATAAATATATCTAAATGGCATCAATGTTTCGTTGCTATATCACGAACAATATTATTATTCAATCATTATTATTATCTAAAAATAAAAACAACACAAAACATTGATGGTTAGTTATTCGAAATATGAATTTCTAATAAATATGAAAATAACTGTAATTTCTCGACGTCTTTTCAAATGCTCCTATTTTATGTTTTCTTTACTCGAGTCAGGTTTGAATGTCATCAATCAAGTAGCAGATTCTAGTCAAAAGAAAAAAAAAGGAAGAAGAACAGGAAATGAAGAAAAAAAACGTAGGATCATGTCTTTTTTTTTTATCTCTTATAATAAGGTTGATATTTTCACTAGGTTTTTTTTTTCATGAATGACATGGGACAATTATAATGAGGAAATCGGCCTATTATTTCTTTAAACACGAAAGAATCATTCTCAATAACAAAGATGCACTCATGCTAACAAATATTCTCATATGTATATTATATAACCGATACTAACAAGTTGTTAATACAAACTAAAAAGAAAAAAAAAAAAAGAGAAAGATAAAGGAAAAAAAAAGGAAAAGTGTTCGTGCAGAAGAGTGAAGCATCAATCATTGCTATCAATTGTCATTTTATGTTATGTCAATGCACACACGATCTTCCATTGCTAGTGTTTTACTAATCGATCAAGACTGTGAATAGAACTGATTGTTTTCAATAAATAGATTATTGTAATTGTCGTTGCTATTTGTTGAACGATAGAAATTGAAAGAAGAAAATATATAATCATCACTATAATAACAGAGATGATATACATAAAAATTCTAAGAAAGTAAACAGCCGCAAGGCATAATATTACCATGTTTATAGACTATTATTACCTGTAATATCTTTTATATATAGAATATTTGTTTAAAAAACCTTGATTTTATTTTAAAAAAATCTCATTACTATTTACTATGCATTTTAACAATTAGGTTAATATTCTCCGAAAGTTTATTGTTTTATTTCCAAATAAATAATCTAAAATATCACAAAGAAGATAAATCATACTGAGAAAAATAATGTTGTTGGCATTCTAGACTAATCGAAAATTGACTAATGAATATGATTCAGTTTTCTAATTCATAATTATAATGATGAGAAATAGGCATTAACAGCAAAACTATAATCATATACGAGCTATGCATTAATTTTTTTTTCTTATTCACTATGTGGTTGAATGATATACAACCAAAATACGAATACAGTTTACACTTGTATTCACAGTTTGATAAGTACCTAGATGTACTGTTTTATAGATATGTTTTTTTTTCTGTCAAGTTTTGTCTCATATAATTCGTTAATTTATTTTAGTTTGTAAATTTTCTTGTTCAACACATACATAAATAAAAAAAGAAAGAAAAAGTTTATAAAAAAAAAAAAGAAAATAGTTAATCAGACGAATTCAATCAAATATTATAGATAAATAAAATAGATTAAAATGAACTTAAAATTTTATCGATTTTAAATTGGAGAAAAAAATGTACTTGAAGGAGCTGGATAAGTTATTTTAGGTGTAGACTGATAATGATGTTCACTTATTAGAATAGGTGTACCAATTTTATGTTTAGTCATTGGTGTTGATGATATATTATAATTATTATTAATTTCAAGAAATTGACTCCAATAATTCGATGGTATATTAAGAAAAAATTCAAGTATTTTTGTTTGTTTATATGTTTCACCAACAAGATCAATACCGGATATATGTTTTGATGAATAACCAATAACAGCTGGACCCTAGAAAAAAGAGACATACACACACACACTTGATATTTCAGAAATAAATATACCATTGTTCGACTTAAATTAATAATAGGCATTCGACAAAGTGGTGATGCAGCAACACGTTGTAAATGAATAATAATAAATGCTAATGTATCACGATTTGGTTTTGGTAATTGTTGAATAAGAGAATCAATCTTTTGTTGTTTGATTAAATCAGATTCTTCATCAACAATAAATGCAAATGATTTCCATAAAGATTCTGTTAGTAAAGATTCTGATAATGAACGAAGAAAATCTTTGACAACACCACAAATTAAATGTATATCATTATAATGTGATAAATCAAATAAACCTGTACGTGATTTAAGTATTCGTTCTTTAAGTTCTTTTATTTGACTTTCAACGCTGAAATAAAATGAAAAAAAAAAAAAATTTTTTTTTTAGAATTTTATATTAATTTAATGAGTTTGGAAAATAATTATTTAATTGATAAGAAGAAGAAAAAACAAATTTGGAATCGAACTTTTCTATAATCGATAAGTCTAAAGTAAAGAATTAAAATGAAATCACATCAGTAAAAATTAAAAATTTGATTTATTATCAAAATATTGATTGGCTTTGATGACTTCCCATAATAGACTACTTGAAAATAACTCATCAATTACTTTTTGTTGAAGAGTATAGACATCAGTGAAATCAAATATCGTTTACTTATATTAGTAAATAATATTTACATTGAATTTTATTTCGTCCGTAATCAATAGAAATCATATGACATATTTACTTTATAAATAGATAGTGTGATTGATGCCATTATTTGCCAAAATTATTTCCATTGTTTATATAAGAGAATATTCCTTAAAAGAGATCTTATCAGTTGAATCCATTGACTTTTTTTACGAGTGCCGATTTAAGAGTATTTACCAAAGGCTGCTTCATCTCACATTAGATCACGAAGAAACAAACCATTGATTCTCATCACTACGTAGTATTATAGATCATATATCAAAAATGTCTTCTTATAGTATACGACATACTTTCTTATACCATTTCTCGAGAACTAAGTAAAAGGATGATTTCCCAAAACGTATAGAATAAAATAACCTCCCTATGATTAGCAACAACAGCTACATTGTGTTTCATATTTTAATCCCACCAGGATTGCACTAACAGCTTGGTTTTTACTTTTCTATTAAATTAATATTGCCTGTATTGAACAGGTCGATTGCTTCTCAAAGTAGCCAATTTTATTATATCACATGGCGCAACACTTTTCCTAACTGCTTAAGTCTTCTTACTAAGAACTATTTTTGGCGCGTCATTGTATGAAACACGATATAAAAGAAGTATAGAAGTAGAAATTTGAATTCATATTTCCTTCCCGACGTGATAGACACGTTAGAGAAGACTCAAAATAGGTCTTGACAGCCGTTGTGGATATACGATTAAAAACTCTCTATTAATAACATCTGATTATGTTTATATAAAGTAATTTCTCATTACATTTCTGGAGCATAAAGTAGAAGAATGGTGAAGAAATCATATCCCAAAATAGATAGCATAAGACAATTTCTCTGTGATTAGCACCATAAGCTATATTATGCTTTACATTTTAATCTCATAAGAATTGTCCTAAAAGCTTCTTTTTTATTAAGTTAATATAGTTTGTTTTGAACATGCAAACTGCTACTCAAAAAAGCTGATTTTATTATGTCATAGAATTTTATATCCAATGGCGAAAAATGTTTTCCTACTGATTAAGTCTTCTAACGAATGATTATTTTTGTCGTAACATTTTTAATAAGTAATCAAACTTGAAAATAGCTGATGTGGTTGATACAGATTAGGGGTGGCACTTTAACTTTACTTTAGAATTAAAGTTTAAAGTGATACTTTAAACTTTAAGAGTTAAAGTTAAAGTATTACACTTTAATACTTTA